TTATGCCTTTTCTAAATTTGTGAATTTCATGGCCCCTGGATCAGGGGTTCTGGTGTTAGGGCGAGGCTCTATTGATTATATAGTGAAAATGCATTAATTCTTTGAAAATCTTCTTCTCTGCTCCTGGGTATTATTTAAACAAACTAAATGCATGGTTATGATAAGCATTGATGCCTTTCCAAAATTGTGAATTTCATGGCTCCTGGGTCAGGAGTTCTGGTGTTAGGGCGGGGCTCTATTGATTAGTGAAAATGCATTAATTCTTTGAAAATCTTCTTCTCTGCTCCTTTGTTTTATTTAAACAAACAAAGTGCATGGTTACGATGCACAAGAATGCCTTTTCCAAAATTGTGAAATTCATGGCCCCTGGGTCAGGGGTTCTGGTGTTAGGGCGGGGCTCTATTGATTATATAGTAAAAATGCATTAATTCTTGGAAAATCTTCTTCTTTGCTTCTGGGTATTATTTAAACAAATTAAGTGCATATTTATGATAAGCAATGATGCCTTTTCAAAACTTATGAAATTCATGGCCCCAGGGTGGGGTGGGGTGGGGTGGGGGGGCTCCATTGATAATATAGTGAAAAAGCATAACTTCTTTGATAAAATATTGAAAATGCATTATTTCTGTTAAATAATCCTGTCTGTCCCTTATTGTTGAGCAGAGAAACAAAGTGCATAGTTATGATGAACAATTGTGCTTCTTAAAACTTTTTTTTAAAGTTGTGGTCCCAAGTTTTGGTGTTTCGCGGGGGGGGGGGGGGGGGGGCTAAATTGATAATGTAGTGAAAATGTGTTAATTACTTGAAAATCTTCAACTAAGTGCATAGTTATCAAGATGATGAAGGTACCTTTACCAAATTTGTGAATTTCATGACCCTGGGACATGGATTTTAGTGTTAGGATAGGGCTGTGTTTATTCTGTAGTGAAAATGCATTATTTCTTTGAAAATCTTCTCTGTTCCATGGCAAATCGAAGGCAAACAGAATAAAAGTTTTAATAAGCAGAGAAATTTTTACCAGATTTTTTAACATCAGCGCCATTTGGTCAAGTGTTCTGGTCCTGGCCAGCGCTCTATTAATTTGTATTCTATTGAGAGAAGTTATTCCCCTTTGCCATTCATTTTTGATAATTAATCACTGTAAATAATGTACATTATTTGAAAGTCAATAGACTAAGACAATTATGCAAAAAATGTTATTGTATAATACAAAAAGTACTTTCATAGTTTTAATGATCAGGTAGACTTGTAAATAATAAATGAATCAAAATGAGACAAAAATAACTAAAAATAAATGTTCTTCAAAGACCAAGAGAGGCCAATGTGAGAAGTCACAATATGGGGTTAAAAGTAGTACGGAATTGTCTGCATTGCGATAGTGCTAAATGGGAGATAGATTAGAATATAATGTATGAGTTGTTACTGAATACTAGACTAATTATTTCATTGATCCTGATCATCCTATTTCTCTTGCTTTTGGGCAACAAAGCTTCATCTATCAGTTTATTTTATACTCTATGAATCCTCTAAATTGTATTATACTCAGGTGTTCGTTAAGGCCCTTGGGCCTCTTGTTATTAATCGTTACAGCTCGTTTCAGTTTTTTCTTGTGGTTTGAACCCAATATGCTTTAAAAATTTAGTCTACCAATCACGTTGCGGTATAGTAGTTATCTCTGGCTATTATTATTATAAATATTGCATGTAGTTGAGTGTAACATTGAAAATTTTCACCCCAAGAAAACCATTGTCAACCGAGGCGCAGTCGAGGTTGACAATGGCTTTGGAGGGGTGATATTATATTATACTGAATGTTTTATACAAATACAAATTACAGTGAACCTTGCGCGCATGATTTCTGCGCAGTCAACATTTTTTGAAATATCACCCGTCGTCAAGCAATGTTGACTGTTGCTACGCTGGAGGGCGTGGCTTCATTATTCAGCGGGTAATAGTGTTTTTTAACAAATGTTTCTCGACGAATCAGATTCAACTAATTTACATGAAAGTATTTAAATATTATCTGCTGTATCATCAAGGTATTGTCGATATATGTCACATGTTACTAGTGTCTTGTATGTATCTTCCAAGTGCTCTGTTGTAGAGGGATTTCAAATATTTTGATGTAGATATCTTTCATATGCTATTTTGTAGATATCTTTCACAACTTGTGTTTTAGATATTTTGTTTAATTACATGCGTTGTAGATATCCTTTTCATGATGTGTTGTTGATATCTATTTCGTGTATAGTTTCGTAAATATCTTTTATATGTTGCGTTAAATTGCTAATTGTTCCCTTATCGATGACCATACAGCAAAACACACGCCTATAGATATAGATACCTTCATGGTTAGGTCAGCATTTATTCTTTGATTTTCCATGTCTCATTTTGTTTCTTTTTAAAAACTGTGACATTTTTTTTAATATTATACTAGATGAAATCCCGCGCAAGCGCGGGGAATTGAATTTATACCACTACCGACAGAAAAAACCTAATAATATATATTGTAGGTTCTACTGACAGCCTACAGGCTTATAGCAGGAAGAAATACTTTGTTCAAAATCCCGAAGTGAAGTAGAAGTACGTCTCCAACCCAACCCAACCCCCCCCCCCCGTAAAACTTAAATAACAATATCATTAATTGACGTTTATTGTGAAACCTGTTATATACAATGTACTATGTTATGGATATTGTACTTCAAATGCTCTTATTTCATTTCCGTCACGAATAAAAGCAGTGAATATGCACATTTTACTGAGAAATAGATTTTTTGGTAAAAATTCACAGGTACTTGAGTCTTGGTTTATAAATATGTGTGTACCTTATTGATATGTAAAAACTGTACCTTACCTCTTTTTTTTTTTTTTTTTTACATATCAATAAGGTACATGTATACATATTTATAATCCAAGACCAAAAACTACCTGTGTAAAATTTGGCTTTTATTTAACGCCCTATGAATACACTGGCGGATTTAGATAGGGGCCCAACCCCCCTCCCGTTTTGTGTCCAAATATATACATAAAATTTAATAAATCATTTTTTCGGTGTGTCCGTGGGCCCCTACCCCAACCCCTTTTCAAGATTCCTGGATCCGCCACTGGAATAGGCCGAGTATTTGATACAAAAGACTGTATTCAGAAAAAAAAAACCTGAAATGTATTAATTAAAGCACAAAATTATATAACATAATTGTATTTGAATAATGCCTTATTCATTGATATTCTCTTTTCATGTAAGCAAGTTTATTACGAAGTACAAATTGTACTTCGGGTTGCCACGATGCTCTCAGTGAGGAATATATACAAATTTTACCTATAAATTTATTAGGAAAACCTACTACATATATGTAATAGTCTTTTCGATATATAAATATATTCACAACTTACAGTGTTATCAATGATTTACCATTATTTCAATGACCATTCACACAAAAGCTTTTTTTTTTCTTTTTTAACATCGGGCTCGATGCTATATGATGTTCTAGAAGCTTCCGTCAATATTACGATCGGTGAATTACGAAAAATAATTTGCACATTTCCATTTTTAATCGGTTATCACAACTTATTTCTTTTATATCATTTAAATCAAGTTTTGATTGAATAATTCTGTAATGACGTTTCATGAAATAAATAAACGATTGCTTGTTGTCAGTTTCATTAAAAATTGCCAGTAACTTTGATCTGCCAACCGGAAACGCCACCGTACTCACGTTTTTGCTATTTCATGGCTGTTTATAGAAAATAAAAGTAGACTTCTAATTTAATGCGCGATACTTACCAGGCCCGTAGGAAGCAATTTCAGTTTGGGGGGGCACAGCCAAACATTTTTCAGTTGACAGTTGAGGGGGCACTACCAAAATTTTCTGACAAGCAAAAAAAAAAAAAAAAAAAAAAAAGGTCGTCAACTACCAAATATTCCTTGACAAGCAAAAAAAAAAAAAAAAAAAAAAAAAAAAAAAAAAAAAAAAAAAAGGTCATCAGGCGGTTTTATTGAGGGGGCACATGCTTATAGTATCTATGTTTACTATACTAATCTATATATCGGCAAAATTATTGGGGGGCACGGCCCCCCCCCCCCCGGTTCCTACGGCCATGCTTACAATGCAAGTGAAATCTAAATATAGTTTACGGACATCATCTTGTATCGTGTGTATTCTTAGAGGAGTAAGTAAGAACTTTGGTGCACCCGTTTCGGAGTTTACTTGCAAAATTTATTAATTTATAAGTATAGATATTGGTTTTGTGCTTTTGAAATAAATGCAATGGAATGAATGTGCCACTTCCTCGTCCTATAATGTCGAATGATCTTTTTTTTTCAAATGTGTATGACAATTTTGTTAGATTCAAGCCTTTAATAACTGTATCAACGAAGAATCCTTCTCATGAATTGTTTAAGTAAACTGATCAGAAATCCTATCTCAAGAAATATTTAACATTTACCTCGTACAAGTGATTTTAATTTCTTCTTAGTAGCTATGGGCGGTAAATTGTATATTTTGATTACCAAAAAAGCATAACTACTCTAGATATTCTCTCAAGAGCAATATGAGTAAAGTGATATTTTGAAGCTAGCCAAACTATACCCATGTTCTTTAATAAAGAATAGATTTATAGGGGGAAAAACATTTTGGCAATGAGACAAAGATGGAGAGAGATGGATCACACAATCTGTGACAAAAACGTAAATCCTAAGCAAACCCTTAATATTACAGCCACCTTGGTAAAAAATCGTGTCTCAAACAAAAGAAAACTATTTATGTGTTACATATTGTTTCTGCTATGGTGAGAAATTTCATTTTCTACGATTGTCACCTTAACGCATGCGCCATCGGATCTTTCGCAGTCATCTGAAACGCATGCCCATGAGATAACTCGACAACTTGCACAGGAGAAAGGTTCAGATTTAATTAAAATGGGTTGGTTCTTATCGAAGAAAGTTTTTTTTTTATTATCGCACCGACACCTGTTTTCTTCTCATAACATGGGCAATGGCAGATTTCTCACCTCGGCCGATCACTCGCCGTGGATTCCGTGTCCTAAGACACCGTTAATAGTGTTCATGTGCAACTTTCAGAGGTGTGAATCTCGACTAACCCAGCGAACAAAAGGACTGGAAACATGTCCATTGAATTCAATATAGTTACCCTCAAACTGTTAAAAAAAATCCTGCCATTCCCGTAATTACCACTTTGTAAGGGCACTTGTTGACGAGTAAGTTCGCCGTCGAGGCTTTCACACTTCTGTCTACAGTAGACTATTAACACCTCTGTTGCTGTCATATATTTATTATGCTTTAATGCAATATCTCTTACATTTGAGAGTGTGAAGTCCGCAAAACGACAGTTTATCAAGAGAAAATGGAGCAGGTAAGAAATCGCCACTATTTCATTTCATACACCCAAATATTTCAATCGGGGTGCCAAAGATGTGTGATTTTGATATTTTTAAGGATACTCTTTTAGAAATATCCAACTAGTTCCATATATTAAGAAATACAGGAGAACAAGAAATATTGTAGAATTAATTCGAAATCTCACATAAAAAATATATTAATTGCTTAAGAATTGATATTTCGTGAATTTTAAAATTCATTTAGCCATTAGATCTAACAACAAAAAGAGACAAAAGTGATCGCGCCATAAGTGACCACACACAGATTTTCTCACCATTGGACCAAAATCAAGGTTTCTACATCGGGAGTGATATTTTACAGACCAAGGAAGATGAAGCAATTCGAGGCGCGGATCTTATGGGGGTAGAGAAGAAAATTGTCCCAACCGCATCAAACCTTGGAATTTCGAAGATAAGATATCAAGTCCATCAAAATACGAAATTTATGAAAGACGAAATATTGAACTTAAGTGTGGGAGAAGAAACTTCAAAAAGTGTTTCAGGATATGGAACGGATCCCGAGGAGTCGAGGGGTGTTAATATTCAGGAGCCAGACAACAATCTCGGACAATTTGATGTATTTCAAAACATTGAGAGATCACAACGAGATTTTCAAACAGTGAATGATCAAAATATTAGGAATGGCGATAACGAAATCCATAGATTGAGAGAGGGATACCCGGATCAAGAAGATCCATTTGCGGCGAATATCTCGGAGGGTCTACACTGTGAACGGGAGGGGGTGCAAGTCAATATTATGGATTCACACTTGTGGATGGCCTTCAATGAAATTCAAACCGAAATGATAATCAACCGAAGCGGGAGGTTTGTTACAATGATGATTCTTCTTGTTAATTCATTTATTAACAGCTATTATCACCCAGGTTAGCTTTTCAACAAACATTCATTTAAGATTTATTCCTCTAATCACTCATATAATATTTGTTTTAAATCTAATGATTTTCCAAAAGAAATCTAATTTTTAATTAAAATGTGAATAATAGCAGCCTACCCTGTGAGACAAAATTTGACAGAAATGACCTTTTACTTGACAATATTTTATAAAGGAATAATGGTCATTTATCTCAGTGAGAGTTATCTCTCACCAGAGGGTCAATCCACCTTAAATCATCCCACCCCCATTTTCCCCAAAAAGCCTCATTACGAGGATATTTCATTTTTCGCTTAAAATATAATTATTATTTTTGAGAAATCTTAGAATTTAGTAAATATGGACGGCTTTTTATCGGTATGTTATAAAAGGTATAAAATTATGTCGATGCAGTATGAAGCTGCGAATTTAGAGTAACTTCATTATTTTTTAACGAAGAATTCTCGATCAACAAGCTGTCGTGTAGTTGCTGTGAAGTGACACATCTTTTATTGCCATGCCACTGACGAGTCTGAGCTAGGTGCTGAGGTTTTGTTTAATATTTCTATAATTATTCTGTAATATTCAAACAACAACAACCGTAATTTAACATGTTTTAACAAGTCAAGGATGACCCAGTTATATATGTAAGTTTTCATTTTATCTAACCCGAGTTTTTTCTACCGACGAAATGAAAATTCTGGTTTTTATAACAAAATTACTGTTGCAAATTCTCAAGATATGGAAATAGTATCTCTGGGTTTTATTCTTTTACATACAAGAAAAAAAGGACGTTTCTGTGCTTAAATATTCTTTTAAATATTTGCTTCAAAGTTCAAGGGTTATTATTACTAGTATGTCACGCAGGAAAATGAATTTTTCAATTGATTATTGTAAAGGTACTTATTTTAGCGGTAATCATATTTAAGCACCTTTCTCGCTTCTTCTTGTCTGCTATTTTATGCACCCGCTAATACATGATTGAAACTGACACTTGCAGTTTTCATGACTCAAATACGCGAATTTATGATTCCGCTAATTAGTTGAAGTGGAAGGATTGTGCTAAATTTTGTGTGCGCTAATTTATGTCCGTTTACAGCATTTAAAGTATGCTTACCCCTGCCATTACAGTATAATATTTACATCCACTGAATATTATTTCCTTTATTTCTTATAAAAACCAAAGCGGTTAATCAGTCAGTAAACAACACTAAGCAAGCCACCTGCATAGATTTCTTTAAAACGGCTGTTCCATCAATTATGCATACAATGACATTCACATCTATAATACAATATTTAATATATTTAATTTACTTAAATGTTTTTTTTTTATAAAGATATAAATATAAACAATAAAATTCACATAACCCGCTTACGCGGGTTATGTATTTTTTCTGCAACAACTGCGACATTAATTCCCGCACTAACAACCAAAGAAAGCATTTTATTGCTTAAATATACATCTCCGGAATCTCTGGTTTTCTACACTTGTAACCGTCTTCCAACAAAGAAAAAAAACGAACATATTTTTTATGATTAGCGATAGGGTTTTTTTTTACCTTTTTGTTTTGTTAAACTTTGTTTAGTTTGTTTTATTAATTTAGGACATGTACGTTTTTCTATCATGCACAATGTTTGTAACAGATAATTGTTTATTTATTGAACATTTTAATTCTTAATGCACAGTATATAAACATGTAGTATATGTACCCTAAAACTTTTTTCTTTGAATCACGCTTACACTTTAAAACTTCTTGTTCGTTATGTATTATTTTATAGATGATTGTGAATAACCAAACATTTTTAGCACACCCCAACGAAATCGAGATGAGCTTATGCTACACCCCGGGCGTTGGTGTCGGCGTTTAAGTTTTAGGAGCAAGTCCATTTCCCTACCTGCACCTAACTTGCATGGACGATGCATCTATGGATGGGTAATACACGTACCAGACTTGCTTCGGATGCTGAATCTGTGCTATATTTTCTAGATGAGTGACCAGGTTAAAGTTTTTGGAGCAGGTCCATTTTCAAGAAACTATAAGTCATATTTGGACCAAACTTGCATGGATGATGTATCTAGGGATGGACAATACCAGACTTGCTTCCGATGCTGGATCTGACCTACATTTTTCGGATGAGTGAACAGGTTAAATTTTTTGGAGCAGGTCCATTCCCAAGTAACTGTAAACCCAACCTGGATTGACTTAATTTGTATGGATGATGCATCTATATGGATGGACACTACCTTACTTGCTTCAGATGCTGGATCTGGCCTACATTTTTTGATGGGTGAACAGATTAATGATTTTTGAGCAGGTAAATTCCCAAGTAACTGTAAGTCCTACTTAAACCAAACTTGCATAGATATTGATCTCAGGATGCAAACTAACTAGAAAAAAATTGGTGTGAGATTTGCCTTACTTAAAGATTACGTGCGTCGAGGTGAGCATCGTTATCTTTGACTACCTATGTTTTTCTCAGGATGTCTCCTGGCTAGAAGTCTTCTCCAAACTATAGTTTTATCTTTTATCTTTTTTTTTTCTTTTTGTAATGTGGCTAGCGAGGTCCAATAATCTGGTCAGATTCATACACAAATTTTCAAGTGCTCACTTTAATTTTCAGGAGAATGTTCCCATATCTCTATATTTCTGTTACCGGCCTGAAGTCGGACGGAATATATGATATTTTGCTGGACGTCCTGCCGGCGGACAAACGAAGGTTTAAGTTTTTTAATGACGCCTGGGTCCCAGTGGGTGTGGCCGAACCTCAGCAGGAAAATTCCTCCTATGTACACCCCGACTCCCCCAGTCTAGGGTCGCTGTGGATGACGAGAAAAATTTCGTTCGCCAGAGTGAAACTGACCAACAGCTTAGAGTCTTCTCCAGAGAATGTAAGTAGACAGTGACTTGGAGTAGGTAGACTGGAATGGTGTAAGTATATAATGGCTTGGATTCTGCCGAGAATGTAATTAGACAATTAATTGGTGAATAACAGAGAATGTTAAAAGCCATTGGATTGGTTACCCCGGAGAATGTACTTAGACAATGAATGGCTTGGATAATTAGACAATGGCTTGGTAATTCCAGAGAATGTAGGTAGACATGCTATGGCCAGTGCGTCTTCTCACAAAAAAGTTAAGGTTAAAATAGGACAACTCTGTTATTCCTTAGGTCAACAAATACGTAATTTTTTTTACAGGATTATTAACATTATATTCTAATTAAATAGAAATATGAGTTTTGTGACCAACTATAGATTAGATATTTATTGGAGGCTCTGAAAATTTTGTCTTAGTCGTAAGATATTTTGTGAAAAGGTCCACTGGTTTCTTCAGAAGTAGCTCCCTCTTTCGTGAATGTTAATAAGTATTGCTGAACTTAAAAAGCATTTGATTGGTAATGTAATTAAGTATCATTTCTTTATGTTGTGATACATGTAGCATAAATACCTGAAAGCTAGGCGCGAAATCGATAATCAAAGTACTGAAATGTCATAAAGTGTGGAATAAAATATTACTTTTATATATCAAATACTACTAGTATAAGTGTAGGTATGAACCTTCCTCTAAGATATATTTGCAGGAAATCGTCGGTACTGATTAGAATGCACTCAGAGAAATGGGAGTGATAACAGCGAGCACTTAACACTTTTACATAAAAGATAAACCTGACCATGGCGTCAGGTCTGAAACAACGTGCAATTATACAACATGACAATTAGGATAAAAATAAGGCGTAAAATGGCCACAGATGATGAAAATGCGCGCAGCAATTGTAAGGCTGCATAAAAGAGGCGTATCCTAATTTATATGGAAAATATTTGACATCACGAAAAATAACATTAAAGGTGTAAAAAGGACAGTTGATTTTTTTAGGTATCTACATGAACCTAAAAATTAATAATTCGTCCTCAACTGGCAAGGAAATAATCTTTCCTTGACTAGTGCTCCTTGACTGATGCTACCCCCCCCCCCCCTTGAAAATTAAATAAAATCGGAATCGGATATAATATTGGGAACAACCCAGCCACGAATATTCTACACTTTTTTTGGCCAGCAAGTTTTTAATCTAAGCTGTATGTTGCACAATAGAATTCAAATTTAAACAGGAATTGAGTAAAACAGTTATATTTCATTTATGCTAAGATAATGATTGATTGATTGTATGTTGTTTAACGTCCCATTCGAGAATTTTTCACTCAGATAGAGACGTCACCGTATGGCGTTGAAGGGCTTCAAGTTTAGATCTATACTCGGCACTCCGGGCCATTGAGCAGTAAGAGATCTTTATCGTGCCAACGCCTACCGTGACACGGGACCTCGGTTTATATGATCTCATCCGAAAAACCCGAGACTTTCACTTCTAGTACCGGGCGCTTGGCGAAGGAACAGTCACTACCTATGTTTACGTCTTAGGTTTGACGCAGCGCGGCGAACGAGAATCGAAACCGGGCCTCCGGATCACGAAGCATGCGTCCTACCACTAGGGTATGGTAATTAACTTTCATATTAAGTATAATTCAGTAATAACCATAGAGTTATAGTTGCAAACAATGTATTAGCTTATTAAAACATATATTGTTTGTTTATTTCTCTCAGACCATACAATGGTATATGAGGTACATGAACATATTTACATATATACAAAATACAAAGTCAAGTAAGGAAGAGTAGTATGAAATGACAAAGTATTACTGAAAAATGGCCAATATCTTTTTAACAAACAAAGACAGCTTTATCAGTGAGTCAACATTTGTGGTGGACATAAGATTCTCAAACTTATAAATATTTACATGAAAACAATACTTCTTATCAATAAGTTTCATACGAAATGAGGAAAAGTATGGACACTCCATTACATAATGGAATTCATCACCTAAAGTATTTTTATTAATACATAAATTACATATTCTTAAAGATCTATCAGTATTAGTCCATCTACCAGCTTCAATTGGAAGTTTGTGGTTATAAATTCTAAATTTGGTCAATATAATTCTTAAATCTTTTGGGAGTTTACTTAGGTACATTTCTCGTCCAAAATTGTTTTTAAAAATCCTGTAATTTAAACATTTAGGTGAATTTTCTATGCTCATATGCCAGTCTTGTAAAAATTGACTTAACAATGTTTCTTTCACAATAGATTTTAACCATGAAATACTCGAAAAATTTTGATTCATCCACACATAAGAGAGACCACATGAATTCAAAATATCTCTTATACATTTCAACCATGGATGCATAAATAAACCTTCAGAAAAGCATTTATGGAGAAAACAATACATTATTATGTAATCTTACGTTCATGTGACATCAAAAGTTTAGCCCAATAAGTAATCATTTGTACCTTTATACGTATTATTAAAGGGTATCGCCCAGTTTCCCCATATACCATACAATTTGGAGTGCTGGATTTAACATGTAAAACAAATTTCAGAAATTTTAAGTGTACCTTTTCTAAAATATCTATATTTTCGTAGCCCCACACTTCACACCCGTACATCAAAATTGGGCTTATAACTCTGTCAAAGAGATCTATTTGACAATCTACTGGCAAATTAAAATACCTTATTTTTCTAAGTACTCCATACATGGCTTTTGATGCTTGTTTAGTTAAATGTGTTTTGGCATTTCTGAAAAAACCACTACGAGACATGATAACACCTAAGTATTTAAATTCGTTCACAATTTCAATTGGTGCACCTCTATACAAAAATATTTTCTTTGGTATTCTTCCTCTAGAAAAAAATTACTATTTTAGTCTTGTCTGTATTTACTTGAAGCTTCCAATGGTCACAATAATCAGAGAAAATATTCAGAGATCTTTGTAAATCCTCTGGATTATCAGATAATAAAACTGTGTCATCAGCATAAAAAAGTATAAGTAGTTTAAACATAATCTGCATTTCAATTCCTAATTTTTCACTAAAGCTCGTAACCCCTTCAATATTATTCTGCAATAAATAGCTTTCTAAATCGTTAATATATAAAGTAAAAAGAAATGGGGATAAATTTTCCCCTTGTCTTACTGCAAGGTTACACACGAAAAATTCAGAGATATTTTGATCAATATATATCTTCGATTTAATACCACTGTACATATTTTTGATAAATCTTAGACATTTACCATCTATACCACTTTTACACACTTTGGACCACAAACCAGATCGCCAAACAGTACCAAAGGCTTGTTTAAAATCAATAAATGCACAATGCAGTTTTTTCTTACTAAAAGAAACAAATTTACACAAAAAATCTAGTATCAGTATGTTATCTATTGCATGTACCATATCCTTTTCTAGAGCCAGCTTGGGCTTCAGTAATTAATTCTAACTCATCAGCAAAAATATTCAAACGTTCACATAAAATACTGGTAAATACTTTTCCTAAACAGCTTAATAGTGTTATTGGTCTATAGTTTACAGGAAGAGTTGGGTCTCCCTTGTTTTTATATATTGGCTTAACGATACCAATAAGCCATTCCTCAGGTACAAAACCAGTATCAAAAATCAAATTAAAAAGGTCAACATATAGTGGCAAAAAACATGATATCGTTGTACTTATATATTCTTTACAGATTTGATCATACCCTGAACATACCCTGGAGCTTTATTATTTTTCAGTTTGTTAACTGCTTGCAAGATTTCTTCTGCAGAGATTTTAAAGGGGAGTTATTATCGAGATTGACATCATTATCATCTACATCACCTTTATCATCTTTAGATTCATTATTTTTTTTCAAAAAATCGTACATTGCTTTGATATCAACTACAGTTTTACATCTAGCCTTCGAACTATTTAAAATTCTCCAATATTCCTTAATATCACTTTTCTGTAGATTTTCTAGATAAAGAATGTTCTTTAATACATTTATCCATTGTTTTCTTGTATTCTTTACTTGTAATCTTAAGATTTTCGGAGTCCTCCGGGGTTTTGTGTTTGTTGTGAAGACGTTTAGCCAAATGAAATTTTCTTCTTGCAGTGCGGCATGTCGCATTGTACCATAGTCTATTAACTTTTTGATTATTTTTTAGTTTTGATTTGTTTTTCACATCTAGTGTAATTTCTGCAGTAGATAGAAATAGACTACACAATTTACTAGAAATGTTGTTTATATCGCTATTTTGGACAGTATCAAGATTTTCTCTACGTTGTAAAACTTCTGTCTGTAATTCTTTCAATTTATCAAATTCAATGTTTTCTTTGAATTGTTCAGATTTTTCCGGGTTCCATTTATACTGTTTGTTATTGTTTTCGTCACACGGTTGATCGGTTGAGTGAGTTTCTACCTTTAGGCTTTCGAGTTCAAATGCTATTGGACAATGAACATCAGAATATAAATTACAAAAATCATGAATATAAAATTTTTTAAGCAATTTGAACATGTATACACTGCATATTACATAATCTACTGTACTACTACTTCTACACGGGAGTTTATCTTCACCAGCTCTACCGTTTGCTATAAATATATTGTTATTTTGACAGAATTCAATGCATTTGTACCCGTAATTATTGCAAGTAGTATCTACAGGTAAACGATCAAGTTTTATATTCGTGTCACATAAAATGCTACCATGTGTAATAGCTTGTCTTGTTTCTTCATCCCAATTATTATGATCTGCTATAAATTCATCAACATTTACGTAGTCCTGCAGTTTACCCACACGGGCATTAAAATCACCTAACAAACATGTATATTCAGTGTCATGTGAGAGATTAAACAATTCTCTCTCTATTTCTAGAAAACAATCTTTTGAAGCATATTTTGTATTTTCAGGGGGTATATATACAGTTCCAAATAGAATGTCACTTGGTAGATTAAACAAAGTTTTGGCAAGTGAAAACCAGTAGACATATGGGCAACATGTATTATGTACAGTAAAAAATTTAACAAAATCTACTTTAACAGCTAAAACTATCCCGCCAGATTTAACCTTAGCTATATCAAATCTATTTTTCATGAAAGTACAATAATCTGGTATGTTAATATCGTCAGTATTATCCGTTTTTGTTTCAGTGAAACACAAGATGTCATATTCAGAGATAAAGTACATATGAAAGTCTATAAGCAGTTAGAAAAAAAAAGCATCACAAAGATGTAAAAATATATTCGTTTATAAATTATGACGATTTGGTCCCCAAGTATATGTAACCCCATCCCATCTCAAATAAGAGAACAAAAGTTTATTTGCAAACTTCCGTTAATCCGGATACGCATGAAGTTTTGTCTTCTAAAAGACGTAAGATGGGCGTGTTACTGCAGCCTCATCTTTATAGGAATGCCAAGTTATATTTTGGTATACCGTTATTTACGTTCTTGCGCCATCGACCCTTTAGTCGATGCTCTACTATCTAAGTGCTGATCTAAGTGGCCCTCTCCGGATTCCATATATGCGAACTATATTTAACCTTGTGAAATAATATCGGTTTATTTAACATACATGAAAATCTCAGAACATATACTAAATAAAATATAAATATAAATACATTGTCATACATCAGAAATAACACACTTAATGTCTTAAATTACGTGAATATATCTTTAAAAATGTGTTTTTGGTATTCGTAAGAAACGCTGTATGTTGCAGTTCACCGACTTTAGCGTGGGAGAGATGCGAACTCGGTCACTTCCTTTGATGTGGTGACAATGAATTCTCGACATGGAAAGCGTTAGCACGTCACGAACAGAGAAATCATTATGGTCTTCTGCAAAAAGTTCTAATCGCAAAACATGTGAATGAATCTCACAACTCGGGATGAATTTGAGCTCTTCGACATCTGGGATTTCAATAGCTGCAATAACGTAGTCCTCTCCACTTATTTTAATTTTGGGGTGGGGGTGGGGGTAATGGTGCAAGTGCAGGAGTGATCCACTACAAAAGTCTCTTGTGTAAAATAAATCTATTTCTATCAATACTATTGGTTCATCAATATAAAGGAAAACTGCTCAACAGGAACTTTCTTTAGTTCCAGAAATACTTAGAGGATAGGGTTGTTTGCTTTTTACGAAAGCCTATTAGGATCAAACTATGGTAAAAAAAAATCTTGGTTAGTTTAGTTTAGTTTGGTATAGTTTAAATATAAAAAATCATTTATTGATTGCTTGGTCTCTTAACATTTTGTTGCAGTATGGTTAAACTCGGGCAAGTCATTGCATTTAAAAAAGGTTTTACCGAAAAGTTAGAAAAAGATTCCCCTCAAGTTTAGGCAGTTTATTTTTTTTTTTGGGGGGGGGGGTTGTTTCTTGTTGTTTTTTCTTGTTTGCTTGTCATTTTTTATGGGAGGCTACCCCTCCCCCTTCAAAAGCACGGATCTGTCAAAGACATAATAATGGCTCTTCAAAAGGCATAATAACGCCCTTTGGAAAGGCGTAATAACGCCTTTTAGAAGTTTGATTAGTTTGTAGTTTGATCCTAATAGGCTTTCGTAGCTTTTGTATGTACAGTATTTATTTTGATTACCTGGTCATTTTTGGTCATGAGTGCCGTACAGGACTGTATTCTTTACATCTAAATTTATATTGTAGATTTTTCTTCATTCTATGCATAAATACGTCATCAGGATTACGATCCGAAAGCGCCAGACCACAACAGAAGTCAAAAAATGCATTTCGTTTTTGCTGCGGGAGACCAATTTCATAGCAGTGACGGCGTATCAAAACAGCAAGATCACTCACCTTAAAATCCTCAACAATCCTTTTGCCAAAGCATTCCGAGGGGACAAAGCAAGGTCGGTTAATTCTGAGCATTGGGGATAAATTTACATCATATTCATCTCAAGGTCTATGAATTCTGCGCAATGGTGATAATTTTACATCATATTCAATTTCGGAGATAAACTATATAACACACGCATATTCATTTCAAGGTCGGGATAAATTTACATCATATTCATTTACGGTCAGTAAAGACTGTGCTGTGGGATAAATTTACATCATATTATTTCCAAGGTCGGATAGTTCTACTCAGTGGTTATAAATTTACATCATATTCATTCCAAAGTCGGTTAGTTCTACTCATGGTGATAAATTTACATCATACTCATTCCCAGGTCGGTTAATTCTACTCAATGGTGATAAATTTACATCATATTCATTCTCAGAGATAGATTTACATCAAATTCATTTCAAGGTCGATTACATTTGCGCTATTTGTGATAAATTGTATCATATTCATTGGTAAATAAATTTAAATCATACTCATTTCAAGATCGATTAATTCTGCGCAGTGGAGATAAATTTACATCGTATTCATTGCAAAGTCGTTTGATTCTGCGCAGTGGGGATAAATATATAATTATATAAACCTTCTAACTTCTGATTGCCAATTATATAAAGATATATCGTAAACAGAGGTTTTACCCTTAAAAACCTCCAGTTGTGCATCTTAATTATACCGGTATCTGATACAAAAGAAATTTATGAACGATTTCAAGGTATAATTTATTACTATAAAAAATAGTTTGCTTCGAGGAATGTTTGTTGAAATCTGATTTTCATTTCCTAGCTAGTTGTCGGTGGTGCTGTTATGTGTTTTGTTAATATATTTTTTTGCTCCTTAAAAGTCAAAAGCAAGAGAATTTCCACAGAGATCTCGATAACTGTATACATGTACATATATTAAGCAAGGACTGTGTTAAAGGTAGATTGGAGTTGAAGTCTTAATTGTATAAAGCATGAACTGTTGGATTCAATAGGTAGTTTTTGGCAGTTTTTACCACAAGTGACTAAATTGCAGCAAGTAATGATAAAATTATACAGTACTTGTATCATTATACGTGTGTATTTCGTGAAGTACAATTCAGGAGAGAACGTCAGGTACCCGTGATTATGACGTCATAATAGAAAATATCCGACTTCCATAGACCTGTGTGAATTGGTGAGAAAATAAGTTACAAATCTACGTGTTCATATATTGTTCTTCAGGTGCGATAAATGTTTTCTCTCTCGAGTGGCGAAATGAACGTGTTGACCTCATGCAAGCCAAGAATTGTATATAATATTTGAACATTAGCACCTGTGTAAAAAAAAAATCACGTACATACCTTGGGCACATTCTTTTAAAAGGTCAGACGACAAGTTCCTCAATAATACATAATTTTTCTTAAGAATTTGTCATTGAAGTATTGCTACTTTAACAAGTTTTCTCGCAAAAATTGAGTATCTTACTAGGCATTTATGCAAGATACATGTACCAGATGATGGTGTTATCTATATAATCCTATTGGAAATCTCTTGAATTCTCTGTATCACAATTTTTAGTGTATATATTTTTTTATATTATTGTGTACATTTTTTTAAAGACATATTTTAAAAACAGTTTAACAATTACAAGATAATGATATTTATATTTTTCTATATATATTATAAAGAGATACAAAACAGCTATTCGAGGAAAGTGTCGTCTGACCCATTTCCATGTGGCTATTCCTGTTGTATTGCAGAATAGCAATCAATACATGGTTAATATATATTTTTATGAATACATGTTGTAGCCATGCAGTAAATATCAAAACTTATAACAATCGTAGAAACGGTAGACCTCTTATGATTCGAGTTTTCAATGTTCGTAATGGAACGTACTAGTTAAAAACGTTAGAAGCATAGTTTACTTAAATATAATTTGACGGATGGTGCGTTGGAATAGGGCCACTAGCTACTTCACATATGAAATGTGGAGATAACGAACATTATTCAAGCTCAAAGTCCATTATTAAAACAATACAAATCGGGAGCATAGCAAACATGGACCTCCAAAAACATCAGAGGTTGAATCAGGTGCCATGAGGGAGTGAGCATCCACTGCCGACCGGTCACACCCGCCGAGTGCTCCATGTCATGATGTGGAAAAAAACGGAAAAATCCGTAGACATTTCAGTGTGTAAATAATGGCCTTACAATTAGTATGAAAAATGTCATTCGAAAAATATAAGGCGAGATCGTAAGGTTGGCAACGCGACGGTCGAAGCCGACAAAGCAAGGGAGAGAGAATACATGCACGAAAAGCATGGGCGACCAGAACACGAGCCGAGGGAAACAATACGAGGAAGTGAAGGCAATAAAGCAAGAGAACGAGAGGGAGTATAGGCGACAAAGCTAGGGAGCAAAAGTACGAGGGCAGAAAGCGGCGAGGCCGACGGTGCAAACCGACAATGCGAAAAAGCGAAATTACCATTATCCTCGAATTACATGGCTCTCGCTCCGATATTCCCCCCCCCCCCCCGTTTTTGCGATTGCTCAGTTTCGCTCTTTCGTGTTGTCGCTCTAACGACATTGAACTGAGGGAGGTAGAAATTGGATGTTAAAGCTAATATACTTCTAGTTCCTAGTAATCATTGGACACTATTTCAGGTACAAGCGACCCAGACGAAGGTCTTCAGAGAAAGACCGTAAAGCAGATGACTCATACGGACAAGGCAAGTGTGAACAAGATTACAAATGAGAAAACTTAAAAGTGCTAATCCACTTTAGTATAAAGTTTTTTTGTGTGCTATTTTTAGAGAGCGATGAGGTCAGTGATGAGAAAGGCAGACGACTGTCGGAATCCCGCGCAATCTTCCCGTGGACTCACCAGAATACTACCTCTAACAAAGACAGCGGTAAATCTGCAGAAATTATGCTTAAAATGTTATTAAATGATACTCTGTTCACTTGCTGCGACTTGTACGAATACGTATATTATATTACTACGCAAGCTTACATCACCCTATTCAACTCGGTAGGAACACAGATATGAACAAATTATGCATGCAGCTGAACACCCTCTCGCATCATGGTTTCATTTAAAGAATGTTTCTCACAAAATAAATTATCATAATAAATGTCAATCATTGGCCTTGACTTATAACCAAGGTCAAGTGAGACTTTAAAGTGTTTCAACAACTAACACTGTCTTTGACCTTTAACTTGACCCTTTAACTTTGACCCTGTACTCGGTGGGCTTATGGCCACTGTTCCTCTATCGCAAATAAGAAACTGAAAGTTAATAAATATTATATATTGTGTCCGAAACTTAGATTAAACATTCTTTGAACTTAACCTTTGACTTTACGACCCTAAATTGACGAGGCTTGGGATTTATTTCAAACAAAAAGGTTAAATATGTCTCTACATATCTTGTTTACAACACTACTGGGACACACTCGCATATTCTACCATATATCCCCTTGCAACATTATTGCGAGGGGATGATATCCAACCAGCTAAAAGATTTGATTTTTTCTCTAGAATTTTAAACTTCATCCAATATTTCAATGATACTCTCGATTTATCTTTCAGAAGAACTTAGTAGTAGTCTGACTTTTTCATCGGAATCGACCTCTAAGAATGTATTGATGTCTCCATACCTTCTGAATGCCTATCGTTATAACGTCGGGATCTACGCCAGCATCATGGCCTATCACGCTCGCCTGGCGGAACTCAATGGAATCTCCAACAACTAGTGCTTGGATAATTTATCTGTGCACACTGACCACAGGACGACAATGTCCAAGGGAAGAGAGATGTGACTATGTCTGTCAAAAGTGCATTTTGTATATGCTTTTAAGATACATACAATCATACTTTTGACATTCTTATTATATATCATGTCAAACTTGCTAAATTTACAAGCACCCTGTGCTTACTCTTGTTTTCTTTGATTCTCCATCACATGTTTGGATAGTGCTTCACATACATCACGTCTCTATGTATTCCAGACGTGCAAATCTGACAAATTAAACATTTTATGTTCGTCTTTAGGGTGATTTTTATTAATAGAGATCACGTCATTAAATTATTGAATAACCCGCTATCGCAGATATGTGATTTTAGTTATTTTTGTGTATCTTTTTGCAATGATTGCAACAGTCATATCCCATAAAACACAAGAATGACTAAGACATTTTATTGTTTATATTTATATCTTTCTTGTGTTTTCATAAAATGGATGAAAGTGATAAAATATTATATTATCGATCTTTAGGTTACATGCATTGAAAACCCGTGAAACAAGTGACATTTGACATGTATTTCCATACTTGAAAGTTACATGTCATTTTTATGTCTAAATTGATGGGGAAAAAATTTTTCAGAACTATTTTAAAAAATTCAGTTATTGGGCTTATACAAAAGTACTATAAATAGAACGCCTTTCACATCCTAGTACATTACGTTCAATGAACCCTAACCCCGTCACCAGGGCCCTCTACAATATGTCACCGAATTAATTATAATTTTTTCCAGTTTGGTTTTATCTTCCTTCATCTTAAATTTGTACACATAGAACATTAGTTTTGAAGATTTAAAATAGTATTAATTAAATTGTATTTTAGAAAAAGTATCAACAACAGAAAAAAAATAACGTTAGTATAACGTATTTTATATGTAATAACGTCACGCTACGTTATCTCCAACGTGTAGCGTATTACGGTAAATTGAGACGAAAAATCAAATATTTTTAGCCGTACTCAATATGGTATATCATATTAATCCTTTGGCAAAGACCTTCATAAATACGACTGACATGTAAAACTGAGCATATTGACGCCCATGTCGGAGGTACCGATGGAATAGCGCATAAAGGAAAAAGTGCTTACTGATTTCATATAAAATATGATAGATACTATAGATCACGTGTAACTGTTATTTATTTGTGATGTTCTTGAAATTGACTGTCAAAATTTCTCGGATTGTAGATTTTCAGCATGTTAAAAATGACGTAACAATCGCATTCATTTACAAACAGCGCGGAGTTTCCCGAAAGTGACAGAGTTAGGGTAGTGACAGAGTTAGGGCGGTTGGCGATACTGGATACAACAGTTGCAAATTAACCCGAGTTAGCGAGTTATGAATTTTTTTCTGCAATGATTTCAATTCCGCATTACTCAGCAAAGAAGGACATTTATCGTTTATATTTATATGATTTGCATTGTATATCTTGATACGTATAATCTTTTTCATTTGAAGTAAGTTGGTAAAATTTTGTGTTATCGATCTGTGCGACACAAAGATGGTAGAAACATGAAACAGTTGCCCTTAAACGGTTTTTCCATATTTAGAGTTACTGATGGGCTCTGTCTATTTCAGAAGCAAACTGTTGTTACTGTTGGTGTAAAGAGCAAGAAATAAAGGGGGAGATTCATATATATTACAGTAGCGGCCAAAGTTCTTAATAGGAGCAGTTTTATGTACACCATGTTAGAACAACAAGCTATAATTTTTGTCCTAATTTATGCAAATATTTGATGTACTGTAAATTGAAATTGTACAGATCATGTCCTTTCGTTAATCATGACTTGGTCTACAGGTTGATTCCAGATTATAGCATTGTGACTCAAGTGAGCGTTGTGTACCATAGGCATTTTGTTATACAATGTACTTTTTCCTGAATTTTCTGAAAATTCCACTTAATTCTTATATTTAGATAAATTATATAGCCTTATAGCCCTATAGATAATTCAAAAAATGTAAGGCATCTATATGTCATTCCATGGAAACGGTAAAATCCATGGTAATATAGCTGTAATTGGTTTTGTTCTATATACGTAGAATAAGAGCACGCCAATAGCGTTAAAAATATTTTTGGTACAACGATCGAAACGCAAAATTTAATATCCACACACCGTCAGGGGTCCCGTGGCCACGACGTTGTAAGGAAGGGTGAGTAGGAAAAGTATGCGTATCAGCAAAAAATGTTTATATCGGGAATATTTTTAGCTCACCTTGACGAAGTCTGAGATGAGCTTATGCTATTAGTATACCCCCGGCGTTGGTGTCGGCGTCCCGGTTAAAGTTTTAGAAGCAAGTCCATTCCCAAGTAACTATAAGCCCTACCTGGACCAAACTTCCATGGATGATGCATCTAGGGATGGACACTACACACTTGCTTTGGATGCAGGATCTGACCTAGATTTTCCAGATGAGTGACCAGGATAAAGTTTTTGGATTTTGGAGCAGGTCCATTCCCAAGTAACTATAAGCCGTACCTGGACCAAACTTGCATGGATGATGCATCTAGGGATAGACACTACCACACTTGCTTCGGATGCTGGGATTGACCTAGATTTTCCAGACAAGTGACCAGATTAAAGTTTTTGGAGCAAGTTTAATTCCCAAGTAACTATAAGCCCTACCTGGACCAAATTTGTATGGATGATGCATCTAGGGATGAACACTACTACACTTGCTTCGGATGCTGAATCTGAACTAGATTTTCCAGATGAGTGACCAGGTTAAAGTTTTTGGAGCAGGTCCGTTCCCAAGTAACTATAAGCCCTACCTGAACCAACCTTGCATGGATGATGCATTTAGGGATGGACACTACCATTTTTAGCCATATTTTAATCAAATTAGCATGGATGATGTATCTTAGGATGGACACTTTCAGACTTGCTTTGTGTTCTGAATCTGACCTACACTTTCCAGATGAGTGACCAGGGTAATTTTTTTTGGATTAGCTATATAGTATTATGGCCTGTTATGATTATACTTGCATAGATGGTGCATCTAAGGATGAAAACTTCCAGACTTCCTTTGGATGTTGGAACTGACCAAAATTTTCTTGATTAGTAAACAGGTTAAAAGTTTTTTGAGCAGGTCTATTTCCAAGTAACTGTAAGTCCTACTTAAACCAAACTTGCATTGATATTGATCTTGGAATGTACACTAACTAGAAAAAACATGATGTGAAATTTGCCCTACTAAGTTACTTATTGATAACATTCGTCGAGGTGAGCTTTGTGATCTTTGATTACTTATGTTTGTACATACACGTAGATATATATAAAAAAAAAAAATACTGTCCTAAATTTGTCGCTACTAGGAAATAAAGAAGTGATTATGTCAAAAAGAAGAACAAGAGGCTGCAAGCCACAATGCTCACCAGAGTCCTAAGTCATTCTCCTCTTCTTTTTCAATCTATATTGTGTCCCAGCCCCAAGGTAATAACTAATTAACCAATCTTGTCGAATCCACTACATACATGGTGATTCTGAATATCATTATGACTAATGTGCCCTTGCTGCTTTGGGGATTTTTTTTTTCAATTTTGCAGGAAGTAAGTGTCTATGGCATGTAGTATGTAAAACTTGACCCCCGATTTTAGCTCCACACTACCCCAGTGTCCATATTTAATTTCAACAAACTCGAATCTACACGATTTGGGATGTCGCCATGCGTGCTGCCTTCGAAATTTTCCATTTTAATTACCGGTATATCTGTGCATTCCCATGTAAAATTCCGAGTACCTATTTTAGCCTCACACTTGTCCCAGTGGCCATTATTTGAACAATATAAATTTGACTATATTCGGGATGCTAGCATTTTAATATATATACTTATACGTAAATGTTCCACTTCTCTATTTGAGAATAGGATCAATTTTAATTTTTTTTTTCTTCAGTTTTTTCCCTGTATATGTTCCATGTGAATGATCTTTTATTGTTAAACCACCTAAACACAGTAAACATGGTTCGAGTCAGTTTGAATAAATTTATATTTGTAATATCTGGGAATACTTGCATAATATAATTTTAGTGACCTTGATGATCTTGATTTAAGTAAAAAATGTAGATTTTTAAATATATATATATATATTCCCATGTAAATTTTTATCCCCTTTTATGGCCTCGCCCTACCCGGGGGGGGGGGGGGGGGGGTACGATTTGAACAATCTTAAGTTTGAACTACATGGAGAAGCGTGCATATCAATATGACTTATCATGACCCTACTGTTCTTTAAAGATTTTCCCTACAGATTCCCAAGTTAAACTTTGAACCCCTTTAAACCGTAACCCCTAGGGCCATGGTTTGATCGAAATTGAATCAGAATCTACACTACATCAAGAAGCTTTCGCACAAGTTTCATCTTATCAGGCCCAGGGGTTCTTGAGAAGATTTTGAAATCACTCCACTATTGTTGGGTGGGGGTGGGGGGGGGGGGGGAGGCTTTTCTTATTTACCCTAGGAAGGGGCATATTCATTCATTTAAATAAAATTGAAATCTTCTTCATTTAAGGATTCTTTGCAATAAAATTGATTGAAATTGAATAACTGATGCTTGAGAAGAAGTCTACAGTTAAGAGATGACAGACTTCATCAGAAAACTTCACTTAAGCCATTGGCTTAGGTGAGATAAATGGTGACCAAATAGAGACCGAGCTAAATATAGCTATGGTGAGAAGAACTATATCACCCACACTCCATGGTGGCCAAAGTATACTAATAAATCATCCAGGGAGGCTCCAAGAAGTAAGGAGTTTTCACACAGATCTAAGCAGATAACTTAAATACAGTGAAAAATAAACTTGTAAATATTTTTCAACACTTTAGTAGTTACACAACTGCCTAACTGATATTTTTCTATCAAGCTATACAGTGAAAATAAACTTGTGAATTTTTTAATTTTTTTGTAACACCTGCATTATTACAATTTCCCTGTTGACATTTGAAGATCTTCTGAGCTTTTAACACCTGCCAATCTGATAAGTAGATAAAACTCCAGAAATAGCTGGCATTACAGAAATTACCAGTATTTGATGTCAATTTGTTTCAGGGAACAAACAAGAGTGTCAATTAAGTAAGCTGCTAAAAAGGGTTATTAAGTTCACTGAGGAGTTGCTCAGAAGTTTTGAAAATAA